AATTGCAGCTCCCTTCAAACTGCAGATGGCCTGCCAGCACCTCCTGTATAGAAGCGGGCATAGACTTTTAAGCAGCAAACTCTTCCGTAGGAGAAGGTGATCTAAGGATATGGTAGTTGCAGAAAAACAGCTGGGTTCTGGGAAATAAAAAAAAAGCTTCCTCTGGAAAAGACCCACAGCAAGAATGAGTGACCACGTTTGGGAGCTAGATGGCAACTTAAAAATGGAAACACGGGGCTTAAAGTCTTATTTTCACAGCAATTATTCCAGTCTCACGCTGTGAGACATGTTTTGCTACCTGGGAAAACAGCAAGGTTATGTGTTTGGGAAGCAAACCAACTTGATAAAAGCAGGGAGGGTTTGTTGTTTGTGGTTTGGGTTTTTTTTTTTTTTTTGCTTGGTGTTTGTTTTTTTTTTTCCCCCTCCCATTTGGACCTCTGCCAGCTCATTACCGTGAAGCAACAGAATAAAGGGTCTCTGGGAAGACTGACTGACCTCCAACAAAGCTAGAGCTGAAATCGCCAATATACAGCCGAGTCTCCGCTCCTAAGGGGATACTGCAACAAAACCTGGACCTAATACCTCGGATGCTGAAAGATAAAATAAAACCAGGAAAAAGCAGAGTGCCGAGGTTGCGACCATTGCCAAGGCTGTGCCACGGGCACGGGTTTTCTCTTTATTTTGATACCATACAGTCAGAAAGCAAACAGAGACTTTAGGAGACCGCAGTCAGCTGTGTGGAGCCTCTGGGGCTTCCACTGCGCACCCAGGAGGTGTTGACACTGCCAGGAAAGTCCCACGCTGCCACACCACTGCCAGAAAAGCCACCGTGCTCAGTCACCACCCCAGGCCACCTGCAACGGAGCCACAGAAAAAGGGACAAACCGGTGCTGCCGAGTCGCACATCCGACAGCCAGCATTTCCAGAGCCGCTCCAATACGGGTAAAACAAGAAATATAATCAACTCTGTATGATGCTCAAGAACTTCACAGCCAAGAGCAGCTGCACACACACACACTCATTAAGGCTTTAGAAACAAAGGGACAGATGGGTGCGCAGTCGGCTTCAGGGGAACGTTAAGAACTGTGACATGAGAAAGAGCCAGAAATTAGAGGGCAAATGCTAGATTCCTAAAAGAAACGGTGGAATAACGGCAGTGTGTGGCTTCATCCTGGGATACGTGCCTGCTGAGGTTCACGAGAGGCACAGAGCAGGGACAGTGCTCCGTGACACTTGCCACCACTGCCAGAAATGCCTGGTACATCTATTTCATGCTCCCTTAGAGCCACTCGGAAGGCACAAAGAGGAGATCAGTCAGGGGTCAGCACCCTTGGGAGTTCGTACGCAGCGTTTCTCTGAGCTGCAAACCCAAAGCCAAAAGATGTCATTCCAACTCTGACATGCATGAGGTCCTCTGCCACCGTTTGTCTCCGATTCGTGAGTTTCTGCACTCTACTGCCAAAAAAGGGGGGTATGTAGATCCCCATCTTCTGCCCGAAGTTCTTTCCCACTCCCAGCCTCCAGCTTGGGCCCTCCATGCACTGCAGACAGTCTAGAGAGTCAAACCCCCACAGAGATGACTTCAAGTACCATGGAATCATAGAACGGTCCAGGCTGGAAGGGACCTCCAAAGGTCATCTAGTCCAACCTCTCCGCAGTCAGCAGGGACACCCCCAACTAGACCAGGTTGCCCAGGGCCTCGAGAGAGACCCTAGAGAGACCACTGTGCTGTAACTTCCTCCCTAATAAAAGAGTCTGGCTGTTGTATTGCTCGGAAGGGATGCCTAGAGGTCTCTGGTCCATCCCCTCACTCAAAGCAGCTATCTGATCAGGTGTCTGCATCTAGTCAAGGGTTGAGTATCTCCCAAAATGGAGACGCCACAAGCTCTTCAGACCGCTGTCCCATGGCTTAACCATGTGAGGTGGTGGTGGGGGAATAAAAATCCTTGTCTGAATTCCTTAGATAAAACTCATTATTACATTTGCTTTTACTGAACACCACTTCAGGACAAAGGGGCCAGGCACCACAGCACTAGAAACTAACCCTAAGCCCAGAGGAAAGGAATGCAGCACGTGCCTCCTTTCAGCAGGGTCCCATGGGGACGGAGTCCCTCTGTCCCCGAGCAAGAGAGGCTATGCAATCCTCCTCCAGCAGCAGAGCAGGGATTGGAGGCAAGAAGCCATCTCACCCCAGCTCTCCCCATGCCCCAAAACCAGTATTCTCCTTAGCATCCATCTTAGCAATCCAACCAGCATTCATCCTTAGCATCCATCCAACCCCTCACATGGTTTCCAAGCCGAACTCCAAAGCCCAGAAGGGCTTTGCCCAACCAGTTTCCCCAAGCTTGAGAGTCATATGTAACTCGGTACAAGTCAACTGCACTGCTGGAAACAGCCCAGCTCTCCCTATCCCCTGGATGGAGATCAAGGCCAGGATGGCTTCTTTCAGCAGCAGCTGACACACACCAGCCCTAGCTGAGTGTGAAGCTCCACGGGTTTTTCTAGATACCAGAAATCCTGTGTTTGGAAAGCCTGGGCTAACCAGCAGGCTACAAGAGCCCCAGGGGCTTTTAACTAGGGCTAAGAAACTAGATTTGCAGCCCAAATGGAAGGGCTTCCCCGCAAGGAGATAGGAGGTTCCCTTCATGCTCTTTTCTTTCAATATTAAACACTACTCTATGTCCCAGAAGCTTCATGTCCCCACCACCTGCAATCTCTAACAGAAAACGTACTGTAGCATAACCTTTCTGAAACCTAGGGCAAGGAGGTGGTAAGCTGGCTTTACAGGGACTTGGCCACAGCAACTCAGGTTCACATCACCACAGAAAGGACCTGGGAGCTTTCCATCCTTCTCCCGCAGCTGGAAATGGCAAGTCAAAAGCTGCTAAGAGTTTGTCCTGATTGACCAGAGCAAGCAATTCCCCTGTCACCAAAGCACAATCCAATTCCAAGAAGCATATCTGATCTGCAGAAAACGGAGGGGAAGGGCTGGTTGGCTTTGTATCACCTCACTCATTCCTTTCAAGACCAGCAACGTCTTGCTCTTTTCATTGATTAGTGATCAAAGAATACAAACACTGACGGCAACAAGGGTTAAAACAAACAAACAAAACACCAACAAACCAACCAACAAGACCAACAAAAAAAAACCCCAACCCAAACAACACTGAACGGGTGCCATTAGCAGAAAGTAATTTTGCTCTTTTTTTTGCAGTTCATACTGCTTACAACCCCAGCTGGCCAAGGAAACGGGCACCTTTCAGCAGGCAACGGCAGCCTTCACTGCCCCCACCAACAAGCTCGCGCTAGCATCTCCAGATCAGCTGATAAAAACCTTGTTTTTATAAAACTCTTGCTCGTGTCTGCAGCAGCTCACCAAATCCATTCGGCATCTGGCTGCGCCCGGGACGACAGCGGAACACCATTAAAACCCGTTTCCAGGCTAGCGGAGACAAGAGCTAAGCAGCTGGAACGAAGCCAGGACAAGCATCTCTTCCCAGCTTCAGAATCTGATTGGGAGTCTCGCTCCACGAAAGACAGAGTGAGAGCCATTACCTTCCCCTGACAGCATGAAGTAGCATTAAAGCAGGCAGAATAATTCCCCGGAGCCGGTGCCTCTGCAGACATCTGTCTAATGTGAGGGCTATGCGCTGGGATGTGCCTCGGGGGATGGCCAGGACCGCTTTGTGTACCCTGAAAGGCCCTGGAGCACCCCACGTTCCCCTTCATGGTGTAACCCGGGGGAAGTCGCAGAGAGCAAGTAGACTGCAGGCTGCAAGAATGAGCTATTATTTCCAGAAGCAAACGGGTCTCTTAAACCGTAACAAGGCAGCCAAATTCACACAGGCAAAGCTCTACCTGTGTAAAAAAAGCAAAGGATCTGTTTTACCTCCATCTCCCCTGACCAGCTGAAATTCTTTGAGGAGCGACGTGGCTCTTCCCTAGCAAATCAAGCCAGTGACTCTACCAAGGTCAAAAACCTTGCCACGTGTCCTTTGTGCCCCCCCACAACCTCCCCGAGCCATTTTAGTGTTCGGGGTTAACACTGATCCTTCCTACCTGGACGTTCCTCCAAAACAGCAGATGAGAGAACGCGCGCTTCCTGCTCCTTCTGCCAATTACAGCAAAGCTCAGCCATGTTTATTTACCCTGTGTCTGAGCTGGCCAGATCTTTGACCCGATGATGATGATGCGTGCTGAACACCACCCTCCCTCCTTCCCCTCCCAGCGAGGAGGGTGCTTTTCCGTGTCTCCAAGGTGGCACGGGAGAGAGGAGACCAAGGGCACTAGCGGAGACCCTAGGACGGAGCCGCAGGAGAGCGCCAGATGCCAGCGAGGCGAGACCTGCGGTTGCTGGTAACGTGCTGCTGCCTCCCACCATTGTGCAAATCTCCTCCCGGCCAGAGCCCTTCTGCTGCGACGCCATCCCCCAAGCCCTTCTCCAGACACCTCCTCCCCTTCAGCCGCATCCTCTCCCTCCCAAAAACCTCCCCAGCAATTGCCCGCCGCTCTCCCCCTCCACCACCACCTCACCTTCGGTAGGGCACACCTCCGCTTCGGAAGAGCTTAGTAAAAGGTTTATTAATGGGGAGGAAGAGTGGGGTTTTTTTTTTGGCAGGGAGGGGGGGAAAGAAGGCTCTGAAAGTTTCGAGAGCTGTCGCTGTACGCTAGGAGCTGCCTCCGTCATCCTTTCTCCGGCTTTGTCTGGCGGCAGGAGGCACGCCCGCTGCGTATCCTTGGGACCGGAGAAACCCTTCCATCCCTCCTCAGCATCACCCCAGAGAGGAAGGCTGTGCCCCCCCCTCAAAGAGAGAAAAGCCGGTTGGGATTTTTTGTGTGTTTGGTTTTTCCCCCCCCCCCCGCGACCACGGGGCTCGCTCTCGCCCCCGAAATCGCACCTCCAAGCCTTCCCTTTGTTAAAAGGGTGGCCGGGCACCCTGCCCGCCCCACTCACTGGACGGGAATCCTTCCTTCCTCCACCCGGGAGGAGTGGTACCTGCCTGCCTGCAGCGGCTTGTCCGGCCTCGGTACCCCCGGAGGCACCGGGGGCGGTGGCGGTACGTGGCTCCCTCGGTGGCGTCTGCTGCTTCTTCTCCTCTCTCCCCACCACCCCCCTCCTCCTCTTTTCCCCGGTTCCAGTGCAGGCACCGGGCGATCGGCAGCCAACCAGACTGCGGCAGGGGGAGGGGAAGGAGGAGATGCAGCCAAAGCTCCAGAAACAGGACAGGGTCGGAGGCTTCTCCTGAGAGACAACGCAGAAAATGCCACCCACGCCAAGCCCCAAGGGCTACCCACTGGGCCACCACTCTCCCCTGGGCTGCCCCGGGTGGGGGGGCTCTACCCCACCATCAGGTGGACAAAGTCACCCCGACCCTGCAGCGGCAAGATCGGCTCCATCCTACACTTGACCTTGGCCCAAAAGGGGTTTACATCCCGGTTGGGATCACCTTCACCTGCGTCCCCATCCCCTACAGCCCCCTAAAGCCACGCTGGTGGAGCTGCAGAGAACCCTCCAGCTGCGCTATCGCTACCGCTGTGCCCGCAGAAGCAGCCAGACACAGGACAAGATCACTGGGATGTGATCTTCCACTCCAATCTGAGGAAGAACTTCTTTGGGGTGAGGGTGGCAGAGCCCTGGCACAGGCTGCCCAGGGAGGGTGTGGAGTCCCCTTCTCTGGAGATCTTCAGGACCCACCTGGATGCTCCTGAGTGATGTGCTCTGGGCAACCCTGCTTTGGCAGGGGAGTTGGGCTGGAGGATCTCTAGAGGTCCCTTCCAACTCCAACAATTCCTTGATTCCTACTGTGTCAGCACTGCGCAGTGCGGAGCTGGGCCAGGCACCGCCTGGAAGCCTTCCTTCCATCTCTAGATGGTCTTTTTTTTTTTGTTCTTTTTACATAGAGAGGACAAACACCAAAGCATCGCAGCATCCAACGGAGCCAGTGGATTGTTGCTACAACCGTCTCACCCACGATAACATAGAATCATGGAATGGTTAGAGTTGGAAGGGACCTAAAGCTCCAACCCCCCTGCCCTGGGCAGGGACACCTCCCACCAGAGCAGGTTGCTCCAAGCCCCATCCAGCCTGGCCTTGAACCCCTCCAGGGATGGGGCAGCCACAGCTTCTCTGAGCAACCCCTTCCAGTGCCTCACCACCCTCACAGCAAAGAGTTTCTTCCTAATATCTAACCTAAATCTCTCCTCTTCCAGTTTAAAACCATTACCCCTTGTCCTGTCACTCCATGCAACCTGAAAAGTTGTTGTGATTCTGCTCGTCCTCACACCAGGGCATCGGTGCTCTCTAGGATGTTTCATGAGCCTCCGGAGGTGTGTTGTCCCCCACCTACTTACATCCCCAGCGCTTTATGGGGATCCCTCTCCCTCCCCACACCTTTCCCCCCCCACCAAGAGGGAGAAGGGCTTCAGGTGTCCCAGGAGGGAGCCCAGCCATGGTGACACACCGCCTCTCTCTTGCCTCATCTCCCCACGCCTGCTTCTTCAGGGAAGCTTCTCAGCTCGTCCCTAATTTCCAGAGGGCAAACCCGCCCGGCTCCGGGACACACACACACACACAGAGCCGACGGGACGGTTAGACAAATAAAAACCCATGCGAGTCGCATAGCAGGAGCGCAAACAGCCATTATTTATCTTCGGCTGGAAGCCGTTCCCGGCGGTGAGGGCACAGCCTAATTATAGAGCCCTGAATCCCGCAGCCTGTGCCCACA